CGGCGCCGCGGCCTCTGGGGGGCGGGTGCGGCCCGGCCCGGCGGGCGGGGCCTTCCGTTCCCTGGCCCCGCCCACTGTTTGTTGTCGTCTTGGAAACCATCCTGCTGGCACAATCAGTCAACAGGGGGCGGGTTCTGGGCCTCCAGGGCAGGGCTCGTCTCCCTTCAGTTCTAGAATTCTGGCCTCTCCTGCTCCGGACTCTGAGCGCTGGGGGCCCCGAAAGTGCAATTGCAGAGCACGGGGCCGCCGGCTACTCGCTCTGTCATGTTTCCCTATCAAGCACCCCGTAGGATTCCAGCCCTTGCACCGTATTTCTAGAGCACCACGTGCTAGGGGCGCTCGGACCCCAAGAATAAGCGCCAAGGGCCCCCTGGCCTCAGGGAGCTACAGTCCAGTGGAGAGTGGAGAGGAAATAAGCATCGAGTTCTGAGCAGACGAGAGCAACAGTGGCCTGGAGGGAGGAAGGGCCACACCTTAGACAGGGTGACACCTTAGACAGTTAAGCTGCAGCCAAAGAAAGCAAAGCGGTCAGTTAGCCAGGGAGAGGGGAGGAGTGCCCAGTGGCGGCAGCCCCTAAAGTGTGACTGGAACCTCGGGGCCGCCCGTCCGGCTGGGTAAGGGTAAGGTCCTTGGGGACCAGTCTGAAGACCTGGGCAGTGTTTGGGGACACAGCCAGGCGGATCCCCCAAGCCCTGCCTTGAAATCACTTGGAAATAGGAAAATAGGTCATTGTCTCAACTGCAAGAAAAAATAAAGCTATGCACTGCCCCTTTGGGCTGGGGGATCGCAGCAGAGCATCACCGCTGACAGTCACAGAGGAATAGGGTTGCGGGGCTTTCCCTACAGCCGCCATCGCGTAATGCCTGTCAACAGTCGGCCTGTCAACAGTCGGCCGCACCGCAGAACCGGCAGGTCTGACTCCGAGGCTCACTGTCCAATGGACACTGAGCCGCCCAGCTGAGTGCACACCCTCAGAGGGCTGCCTGGCGGCAGCTTGAGGCACACTAGCAGTGCCAGTCCAGGAAGGGCTCAGGGGAGAGTCTCCCCTTCATTTAGTCCTCAGGGAGATCTGCCTGTACAGTGAAGAGAGTCCACCCGGCTGGCCGGCCCACCTGGCCTTGCCAGTCAGAGATCCTTTGCCAACCCTCCTTTGCTGGGTGACTGGGCTTCCCAGGAGGGCGGGCTGCCTGGCAACCGCCCGTGAATTCGACAGCCTGCAAATTTCGTTATGCGGCGCTGGGCCCTGGCAGACAGAGCTGCGACAATGAGGGTTCTGGTGAGCTCACCCAGGCAACGCCGTCTGGCGGATGAGTGCCAGCCACCATGCAGCTCCACTGCGAGCATGTTGAGCATCTGCTGCAGAGTGCACAGCCCTATGCCAGGGGAGGCAGAAGCAGGAGGGAGGTCACAGAGGCAAGGTCATAAAGGGCAGCTGTCCGGATTGCCCCCCCCCACAGGCCCCTCCTGCACAGGGCCTTGTCCCCCACTTCGACAGCCCTCTGGTCATCTGATGACTCTTGAAAGCTCAACTCAAAGCACCTGTTTGGAAACTTCCTGATACCTTTGACTCCTGCCTTCCCTGGACCCCTGAATCGCACGAGCCCCGCGAAGCCCACCACGTCAAACACGAGTGCACCATCACAGGCACTTGCTCTTGCTCTAGCACCCCTATGTGCCTCTGGGAGCCAGGTCACCCCGTGCCCCGCAGGGTGGCTGCCCGACAGCTTGGATCTGGGCTGACGGCAAGACCAGGGCTGTGTTCAGCCTGGAAGGCAGGCCTGTCCGACTGCTTTCATCATCTGCCTTTCACGGCTAAGGAAAGGAGGCAGCTAAGTGACTTGCAGCGAGGGAAGCCTCAAACACAAGGATTTCCCCTTCGGCAGGTGCCACCGGAAAAGCACTGTCCAGTCACTTTCTGTGGCATGGAAATGTCCTCCACGTGTCCTGTCCCCACACAGCTGGCCGCCTAGCCTCTGGGTCCTGGAATGCCATGGGCGGGACACAGGAAGTGAATGCTGAACTTTAGTCACTCAAGTGGCTGTGCAGGGGCTGGACTGGGCTGGGCCGGCCTGGCAGAGCGTGGCACGGGCAGCTGCCTGGGACCTCAAGGCAGCCCTTGCTCGTTGGCTGGGGGCTTGGGGACAAGCCGCCGACAGCCAGCCTGGAAGTGGGGCCGCTCCTTTTGCACCCCAATGAGCGCTGCCTCACCAGAGCTGTTGCAGAAAGGCTGCTGCCCGAGTCCCAGGCAGGTCGCTGGCTTGGGCGCCTGGCAGGGATCAGGCCAGAGGCCAAGCAGGAGACCCCCCTCAGGACAAGTCACAGGTCTCGGGGAAAGAAAAGGCCACATAAACACACAGCACACAGACCTCATGCAGCCCAAGGGGCACGATTTTAATAGGGGAGGGCGGGCCCACCAGAATCAGGAAGGCGCAGCAAGCGCGGGAGCAGAGGGCCAGGGCAGGGGGCCGGCTCCCCTCCAGCAGGGCTCTGCGCTGCCGGACAGGCCAAGCGAGGCCTCTGGCCCCGGCGCCTCAGCCTGTCCCCACCAGCGGCGCTGGGCGGTCACCTTCAGGCAGAGCTCAGGAAGCTGGCGGAGAGCTGGAGGGTCTTCACTTCTGCTGGGCCCAAGGGGGCTTGGGAAGAGGAGAGCAGGGAGAGGAACTGGAGGCTGAAGGCTCCCGCCCTCCCTCCCGGCAGGGACTTCGTCGCCTTCTGGCTCCAGGCCCGCCCAGACCCACGGCGACCAAACACACAATCACCGGGACCAGTCACAGCCACTGGAGGTGGAGGTTGGTGGTTCCAAAAAAAAAAAAAAAACCAAACAGACAAAAAGGGTACAGTCTTCTACAAGCACAAGTTTAAATCTCCAAACATAAAAAAACATCCGTCCCGTCCCAGGGGACGTAGCATCAGAAGCCAGCCTGACCGGGCGCCGTGGCCCGGGACAGGTGCGCTGCGGCTGTCCCACCCGCCCGCATCCAGTGCCCACCCCACCCAGCGCCCTCTGCGGCTCCTCCGGTGCCACGCTGGCTGCCGCCGCCGCTCTGGAAGCCGCTCCAGGACGCCGTCAGAGACGCGAGGGAGCCTGAGGGGGGCCACGAGATCCAGCCAGGCGGTTTAAAACTGTCAAGACAAGCAAGAGGTGGAGAGTGGCGGTCACTGCCATGGTCACTACATGCTGCTGTGCCGAGCACGGTCCCTGAGGGGCAGAGCTGCGTCCCAGGACACCAGGTGGGCACGCCCAGGCTAGTTCTGCCAGTGGCCTGGGCACTGCCCACACCCTGCACTAGCCAGGGCAGAGAAATGAGGGGTCTCGCGGGCATTTCCACAGCCCCCTCCTCCACGAAGGCCGCTCCCCTGGCTCTGCCTGGCCAGGTGAACTGGCCTCCTCAGAAGCAGCGGCTCGCACGCAGGCCTTGGGGACCAGCAGGCCACGTCAGCCAGGACCTGGGATGCTGTCACACTGTGGGTGACCCAGCAGGGCAGGTCCTTAATGGTTTGGGCCCTCAAGGATCCCCCACGTGGTGCCCAGCGGAGCCCTGGCTGGCTCACAGCACAGCGGCTGCTTGGCTTGAAGGCAGCCCCGGGACGGGCTCTGCTGGCCCGCGGACACCGGACAGCGCCGCTGCACACTCTCTCGGGGGCTGGACACAGGTCGGGCTGGGGCGTCAGGGAGGCGCGGTCGGCGCTCAGTGGGGCCCGCACAGCCGGCAGCCCCAGAGGCGAGGCTACCGCCTGCGAGCCTTCGGTCCTTGAGTCTGAACACCCGGGCCTGGTTTCTTCACGGAGTGGCAGAGGTGCCGGGGGCAGCGGTTCCATCGCCAGGGCACAGCTCATTCACCCGCCTCAAAGGTGGTGCCCAAGGCCCGCGAAGGTGCCCTCGGTAGCGGCAGAACACAGAAACGCCTTTCTCGTAACCAAGTGACGGTGGGCTTGAGCAAGCCAAGTCTTCTGGGACAAGGCTCTCTCCGTGGCAGCCGAGGCTGGAGGCCTCCCAGCGGCCTGAGCGGAAACGCCGGTGCCGCGCGCCAGAGCCCCGCGCAGCCTTCGCTAGGGCCGCGGAGAGGCACGTAGTAACGTCTCCGCTTTGTGGCTCAGCAGACGGGCGGGCCGTCGGACTCACCGCGGTGGGCCCTGGCCGCGCCCGGACGGCCTTGCCGCCCGCTGGCCGCACGCCGCCAGCCCAGCGTAATGGAAGCCCGGGGCGAGGGATATCATGTCCATGTATAGGAACTGAAGCTGCTTCTGGGCTGGAGCCGTGCACACTAGCCCAGCTCCACCCTCCAGGGAGCACACGCCACTCGGGGAGAATGTGTCAACAAACCCAGGCTGTTTGGACGAGGATAAAAACACAGCGCTGTGTCCTGACCATCTAAACAAAACGCAAGTCATCACTGCGTCAGTGTAAATAAGGCCTCCTCTCAGGGGGCAGCCAGAGGGCCCTGGAGGAGGAGGCCGTGGAGGCGGCAGGGCCCGAGGGAAAGGCCAAAGGCTTGCTGAGGTGTGGGCCGCATCTCGGTGACGCCCCGCCGCCCCAGAAACCTCACCGGGGGGGGGGGGGGTGTCTATCTCGCCTGCACTATGCAGACACACGGACGAGCCCATGTGCTTTCTGAGACGTAGAAAAGCGCCTCTAAGACCCCGCACGGGGGAGGGGAGGACGCGCCAAACACCCAGGTGCCCCCTAAGACGCCCACAGGTGCTCCAGCTCCGGGCCGCACGGCTGGTCCGCACCCCCCAAGGGAAACTGCTCTCCCACTGACGCTACGCTCTCAGCCTGGCCCAGGGCTCCCACACTTCTGGAAGGAATGCAGAACTCACGTTCTTGAGGAACTCCTCGGCCACGATGCGCGCGCGGGCGTTGACCGACAGCTTCATCTCGCTGATCTCCTTGTCGATCTCCTCCATGAAGTGGATGACAAAGTCCACCAACTTGTGTTTGTACATCTGCTCTGTGTGGAAGTTGGTGATCAGGAAACTGATGTCATAGCCCTAAAGGAGGGGACAGCAAGGAGAAGGGAGACCACAGTTAGCATCCCAGGAAGACTGCCGAGCGCGTGCTGTCCACTCTGCCACGTGGGCCATTGGCGGGGCCCCCGAGCCGCACCCCGCGGCCCGCAGCCCACCTGCTGAGGGGTGGGGTGGTGTCTACGCTGGGTCCGAGGAGCTGAGCCCAGCTGAGAAACCTGTGGGCCCGCTGTCTCTGGAGGACTGTGCAGACAGCTGCCTCGGGATGAGGGATGAGGGGCGTGAGCTCTGCTACAGAACCTAAGCTGACAGGTGCCGTGGAAGAGAGGAGGCTGAGGTCTTGCTCGGCTGGGCTGACTGTGGAGGGACTTTTCCGCCCAGGTGACCCGAGGTCAGATCTAGAGCCAGGAGAGGGGTTTCGGCAAGGACCAGCTTGGCCAGCATCCGACATGTCTCATGACAGTGCGGGCTGCTGAGTGGGGGCGGCTGTCACTAGGACTATTTCAGGTCCAGCGGGAGGGAGGTGTGGGGAGGATTCAAATGCAAAGGCTATTTGACCCAGCGTCAACTGTGGCCTTGCGAGACCACACCTCAGTGGTGGCAGGTCAGAAGGGCCTGACTCGCTGGGCCCTGCGGCCGCGAGACCGCAGGCTCTGGAGTGTGAGCAGCACCCCTTACTCTCTCCGTGGCTACGCAGATGCCGAGGCTGCCCTCTCCCCGTCGGCGTGAGGAGGCGGCTCAGCTCAGGCAGGGCGCCCTAAGGCGGGAGGGCGGAAGAGGCCAGTGACCGCGGCCTCAGGCAGGCTCCCGGGGAGCCTGAACATGTGGGCCACACGCCTTACCTCCACAGGCTTCCTTCGAAGGATAAAGAAGTTCTCTGCTCGCATCATCATGAAGCGCATGAACTTGTGGCATAAAATCTTCTCAATCTCATCTGCCTGGTGAGAGCCAAGAAGCAGGTTTCCATCAAGCAAGCAGCCAAGCCACCTGGCCCCACCCCCCACAGGCTTGCGGGGGGCAGCGGGGCTTGGCCGCCACAGGAAAGGAGCAACTCTGAATGGCTCCTACTTAGGGGCCGCTGCTGTGCGTCTCTGCCTACGCAAGCGGTCGTCTGGCGAAGTCGTGTGTGACGCCCTCCCCGAGGCCACCCGTTACAGCTGCTTCCTGTCACCCCATCAGCGCGCACTCGCCAGAGGCCACCCACGCCACGTGGCCGCGGAGGAGCCCGGCGGGCTCCACGTTAGCACGCTGAGCGTGCGATGCGCCGTGTCGCGCCCCAGCGTGACTGGGGCAGCGCGGCCGAGGCGCTCGGCCCACCGGCCCTCGAGCGGCGCCTGTGCGCTCCCTCCTGACCAGGACGGCGCCCCAGGCGCGCTTTCTTTGCCCCCCCTTCTCTTACTCACTCACAATGTTTTGTTTTCAGTGTGTTTACTTTTCAGAGCTGCTCCCTGGTTGGAAAGCAGTGCCGGCTTTCCGCTTACGGCCGGAAGTTCTTATTTCAAACCAATTTAAGTCAAAGGAACCAGTTTGAAGGAATCCACTAAGGAATCCACTATTTATGTCCCAGACGGGACATAGACATGATGGAAATTACTGGGGACGGTGGAGAGCAGGCATTTGTGGGCTGAGTCGCACTGTCTTTAACGCCTTCAGCGTTCACGGCTACCCCAGTCTGCTTTTTCTGAGCCGGGCTCACGCTTCACTCACTGGACCGCTTCTATGACTTGACACCAAACTGGCCCACGGTGTGGCTGCTACATTTCTGCCTTGTCACCTAGGACAGGGCCCACAAGCCGGGCTGTTCTCTTTTTATTCTGCTGCTCTGCTGAGCCTGGCATTTCCGGGATACGCTCAAGGAAGCAGAAGCAAGCAGGCTCTTCTGTCGGACAGGGGTCCCGGCCGCTGGGAAGTCGGGGCTGTGTGGAAGGAAGCTCACCTGCTTCACGGCAATGCTGACCCGGACCGAGTTGATGGAGCCCTCAATCAGAACCTTCTCCTTCTCATTCCTGCTGATGGTCACAGGCTGTAACAGCAGCTCTTTGCTACTCCTGGAAACACAATGTCACAGACACGTCTGTAGTACCGGGGACGGAACTGTCGGGGAGGCCCCGAGCAAGTTCTGCATCCTCGTCTGAGACAGACAAGGAACAGGAGGCGCACAGCAGGGCGCGTGAAGCCCGGGACTCGGCACGCAGGTCCTCCGGCAGAAAGGGCACAGGCTCTGGGCTCAGGGCCGAAGGACCCGAGAACCCTCCTGGTTCTTGCCCAGTGTTCCCAGTGGGATCTCAACGTCCCACCTGTGGATCGACCGATTCCTACTTCACGGACGAGGACTGAGCGGTCAGAAAGGGTCAGGAGACCAACAGGGCGCCTAGCACGCAGTGGGAGCCCGACGGGCGGCAGCGCCCTTCAGTGCCACCAGGCAGCGCACAGCAGAGGGCGGCAGGAAGCCGGCCTTGGAGGGAAGGCCGAGCTAGCGCCCACAGCCTGCCCCTCTCATTATCAATCCGGGATGACTGATTACGAAAGCCACTAATTCCCCTCTCGTTCCCAGGCTCGTTTCGATGCCTCTTTCTGAAGCTGTCTATGGGGTGGTTCATGGGCGAGGGGCGGCACAGGGGCGCCCCCACCCCGTTAAACGCCTGGCGGAAGCCACATACCCGGCAGGCTAACACGGCACACTCCGGTCCTCGCCAGCTCGCCCCAATTTAAACAAGCCATTCGGGTGGCAACACTGCTCATCTCGGCTACCGTGTTCCAGGTCGAGTCTTTTTTTTTTTTAATAAAGTTGTTTTCTCTACAACATTTTGCGCCTTTTTCCATCTCAGTTGAAATCCCCGTGGGCTCCCCATCACCAAGTCACCCGTGTGCCATCACCATAGCCAGGTCAAATCTTCAAAGGGGCAAAACAATTTACTTCCAAAGCCTACACTAGTAGGCGGATAGCCCAAGGGTGGCCTATCTGGAGAAGGGGGGAGACGCAGGCTGTTCCGGAAACGCTTGGCTTTTACGTCACAAAGGGCTGAAGACGGCCTCTCAGGGACCCCTCCTGCCCTTCCTCCGCTGCCCGCTCCCGCCGCCAGAGGCCCCTCAGCCAATTCAAGGCCTCGGGGCTTTGTCCTGCCAACCCAGTGACCCTGTTCTCTGGGGGGTCACTGTTCACTGGCCAGCAGACCAACCCGAGAGCGCCCCTGGGGGCGGAGCCTGCCCCGCCCGCCCTCCTTCCCTACCTGACTTCCACCTCCGGCTTGTTGTGTCGCTCCACGACCTGAGAGGAGAAGTTCTCCAGGCAGAGGGCAGCCTGCAGCGTGGCCCGCACGGCACTCAGGTAGGGGCGGAGAGTGGCAGTCTGCACAGAAACCCACGAGGGTCAGTGTCTCGCCATGACCACGGCGGCCCAGGAGCCCCGTGTGCCGCAACAACCGACGGCTTCCCTGACCTGCGACCTCAGCGCAGAGCAGGGGCCTCAACAGGGTGGCTCCGAGGGCTGCCAGGGGCCACTGCGGCCTCTCACAGTCCTGGAGGGGGCCACTGCCACTGAGACGGGCCATCGCACCCCCGCACCCGACGACAGCCCAGAGTTACTTGGCCCAACAGTGCCGGCAGCGCAGGGCACGTGACCGCTGGCGAGGGGCTTTGCGCCAACGGCCAGCAAGGCTACTGGGCGCCAGCACCGGGCTGCGGCTGGGGCTCGGACTAAGGCCACCTCTGCCCCTCATGGCTCAGCTGGGTGGGGGCGACAGGACAGCAGTGACGCAAACAGGATGAAACACAAAGTCGTGTTTACAAGTGACGGCGGCTTGGGTGTGAAGATGGAAACAGCGCGAGGGTGGCTTTATGAGGAAAGCGGCCCAGCCGTTCTCGAGATCAGCTTCTCCTCACGCTGGCCTTCTCGCGTCCCGCCCTCATTCGAGTCCCTTCACAAGAACCGACCCACCTCTGTAGGCTCTTCCCCCCTAAACGTCTAGCCAAACCCCGGGTGCTGGCCGGGTCAGGCGAGGCCTCTTCCTTCCTGAAGCCTCTCTCGACTTCCCTGCTCACAGCATGACACATCCTCCAGACACCCTGGTCAAGTCCTTTCTCCCTTGCCCAGGGTAACAGCTCTCAAGGTCGACAGAACAGCTGAGCCTGCACTCTGCAAACCCTGACGCGAGCTGACTGATAATGCTCTGAAGAGTGAAGAATGTAAGCAAGATTAAAATGAACACAAAGAGGGCCCTCCCTGGTGGCACAGCAGTGACAGCACGTCAGTGACGCTATCTGACGCCATACGAAGCCAGTGCAGCATGAGTTCGATCCCCGCCCCAGAGGTGACCCACAGGGCGCAGCAGACCTCTCCTGGCCCACCCGCTGCTCCTCTAGCAGTGGTCTTCATCGATCTGCCTGTTCTGCTCCCCACTCTGTCTCTGGTGACTCCTCTCACCCCCTGCACCTCTGGCCTGTGCAAAAATAAATCCTTAAAAACAAGCAAACAAAAAAAAAAACCCGAACACAGCAGGCCACTGATGAGTTCTACAGCAGTAATAACCAGGCGAGGGACGCCTTTCTGAGCCCACAGACAAGGCGCAACGGCAGGCGAGGGCAGGCGAGGGGAGCCTACAGGCCGGTGGCCGAGGGGGGCCTTCCAGGGGTAAGGAACTGCGGGGCTTTCTGAGGAGGAAGTTCACAGCAGCTGCCTGGTGACTGGAGATGGCCTGGAGGGAAGTGAGACAGGCGGGAGCGCAATGGGGGGGCTGGGCTGGGCGGCGGAGACAAGGGCCCTGTCACCGCACTGGCGTCCCACTGGACACGCGGTGACGACCCAAAACTGCCAGCAACCGTGCCCATCCGTAAAACACCAGTGGGCATGGAACCCGCCGCCGAAACACACCCCCAAAACACACCCCAGGGGACAGCCTCAAAGACAGCCCCGACGCCCGAGGGCCCTACTCGGCGGGCACTCTGGCTGGACAGGCAAAGCTGGGGGGGGGCAGCTGTCCGCCAGGGCCTGGGCTTGGCGGGGGCATAGCGGCCGCCACACAGGCACCCAGGGGCCTTTGGAAGGTTTAAGGCCGCACACCGGCTCGTCAAAAGTCAGGCGCTGCGAAAGCGCCTCTCAGGTGCGGTGCGCCGGGGCCTGCCAAGCCCCTGCCAAGCCCCCAGCTAAACAGAGACCTTGAAGCAGAGCAGAGACGGCACGGGACTCCGGGGAGGGCAGAGGCGGAGGCCAGCCCAGGGGGAGGCCAGCGCAGGGGGAGGCCAGCGCAGGATGCGGCTCTGCGGGCGGCGTCTCCGGGCAGCAGGTGAGCCCGGAACTGGAAGGGCCGGGCCGGACAGCGCGACGGGGGACGGGGCGGGCCGGCTATAGCCAGGGCAGGGGAAGGCCTCCACTCGGGGGCCGCCACGGGAAAGGGGGGCTGCTGCCCAGGGAGGCTCGGCCGTATGCGGGCTCACAAGCCAGGGCGGAGCCGAGGGGGCCGAGCCCGGCCCAGGAAGGGGGCGGGGGTCGGCAGCACGAGAGACCTTCAGGGGGCAGAAGCAAGACGGGGCCCACGGCCGGGGTCAGGGGGCCGGCGCTCCCTCGGGGAGGCGGCAGGC